TAAACCGCTTAGAGAGGGCTGAAAGCCCTATGAAGCGGTATATAAGTCTAACTGCTATTGCTATTTCTAGCAATGAGTAGCACACATAGCAGCTGAGATAAAGGACTAACCAACACAACTAATACAACTATGATACTGGTTTGCTCACACACAGGGACCCCAGACTCAATAACAAAAGATCTTACAAAAGTCCAGCAGGGTAGAACCAAATGGTGTACTCCCCATGTTAGTTAGAAGGCTAAATGTTTAATTAATGATGCTTCACCAATACTAAATGATCTTATTCAACTATCAGTAGTAAATATAATTAAATCATACAATGGTGCCCATTGATGATCCAGGAATACATGTAATTAGGCAATATTACAAGAAACAGTCCTAATCCATATCTACACAATATGAGCAGAAATCTCTTAACGTCACCTTAAAGTTGGGCCTGAAATCTAAGTCATTTGGGGCTAGGGAAGAAATTCCAAGAATAGACCTCTAAAGACACTAAGGCCTGAAAAGGAATAGTAATCGCAATGGCACTTAGACTTATGTACCATTTCATAGTGCTTTACAGCCCTCTCTAAACGGTTTACAGAATTAGCCTATTGCCCCCAACAATCTGGGTCCTCATTTTTCCCACCTCGGAAGGATGGAAGGCTGAGTCAACCTTGAGCCGGTGAGAATTGAATCGCCAAACTGCAGCTAGCAGTCAGCTGAAGTAGCCTGCAGTTCTGCACTCTAATCACTGTCCCACCACAAAATAATTCTAGCAATTGTTGTGTATTAAATGCAGGCTCTATTTATAATAGGTTTTAATTTTTATTGATATGTATTACATTGATCCCAAATCATAGATATTCCATTCAGTGCTTTGTGGCCAAATTGTGATGACTGTCCTGAGAAGATTTGGGGATGCATCATGTGATCCATATGCTTGATCTAGAGCTGGCATGAATAAATGATTCCTATACTTGTCAGTTTGATCTACATCAGTGATGGGTTTCAATTTATTTGACTACTGGATTGCTCATGCACGTGCGCTCGCACGACACTTCTGCACATAAGCTTCTGCTCATGCGCAGAAGTGTCCAGGTAGGTGGGCAGAGCCTCCCGCTTCTGCCACTACCAGTTCACCCGATCCAGGGCGAAATGGCAGAAATCCACCTCTGGTCTATATGTCCTTACCAGTTGTCTTGTTATAAAAAGGAACAAACTATTATTAATATATGAACAATAAAGATTTAACAAACAAGAGGTTGGAATTCTCAGCAGTTTCCTTAACAATATAAACGTAGTGAAGCAGAATGCAAGGTTGATTTTATTTTTCAACCTGTACATAATATTCCACATAATATTCCTATAAAGAAGGGCAGGATGATGAAAATAATGTGCTAGTTAAAAGCGCTAACAATGAAAAGGATATAGGATAGTTGACTCAGAATAGCAGACTATAGGGATCTTCTATCACATCCTGTAGGAACATACATATATATTTACATAAAGGAAATATAAAGCTAGAACTTTTCTTCCAGAAATGAATTTACTAGAATTAAAGATGGTATTATTTGTATGATGGGACTAAGTAGTGACAATATTCCATATTTACCAAGTGCCTAATGCAAATCATGTATTTGAGTATAAAAATGCTACACCCTGATACCTTTTTAGCATCTTCAGCTGTTAGAGAGCTTCCTTCAGCTTCTTCATTGGTGATCAATGAAATTCCTTCTAAAAGTAAGCAAGTAATTTACATTTAACCTTTTTCACATTAACTAAAGCACATCAGATCAAAGTATCATAGTCAGAAATCAAAATATTTTTTGAGATCCACATGGCAGCATCACTCATATATTGGCTAAGTACTATATACCTAATTCAACTATTCAATAAATATAACCCATTAACAATATGTTTTAAAGCAAGGCATTCTGGTCTTCCACAGAACTATTCTATAATCCAGATTATCTGGATTAAAAAGAATAAAACTATCTGAAGCAAATTGTTGATGGGGGAAGACAAACATTTTAGTCCTTCTCATTCTATCAGAAATGTTTAAATGTTCCTTAAGAGATAAATTGATTTTGATCTGGCTTACTGCATTATTTTTTCCCAACATCAGCCAGTTTCACCTCTACTGCTAATATTTCTCTAGCCCAGCTACTAACTTCTTCAGAGGAAAAGTCAAAACTGAATTAGGCTACAAATGTTACGACCCGTATTCAAGAGATGAGAATGGTTATAACCAACTTCTAATTGATGACAACTCCCTCCTTATATAAGTAACCAGATGTTTATGAATTTTGATTGCCTCTATAATTATTATGGGGAAACATCTGCTAGCTTGCTGGGGAAGCTGACATTTTCTATTTTATGATTTAGCACCTATATTTGATATACAGCCAAGATTGACTGTCGTATGTTTTTAGCCACATATTTCTTTCATACTCTTTAATTTGTCATTAATGTGAAAATCCTTTAGCTGGGAAGGTTTTATATAAACTAAGTGGCTTTCTGTTTTGTGGATGCACAAGTCTTTCTGTATGTGCCTGTTAAAAATAAAAGCTATAAAGGCATGAATGTTGAGTTATTGTTTGCCAGTTTTAAAATTAGCTTACACAAAACATTCTTTTGATTGATTATTCCCCACTTGATTGAAGTATGACACATAAATCTGCCATACCTCTATAAAAGCTTTCTGCATTACATCTATGAAAAAATTTCCCTCATTCCATCTGGAGATGACTACCCAAATTTCAATAAGCATGGGAACAAGAACGTGCAATAATACTTTTATTTTAAGCGGCTGATCAAATGTAGCAGGTAAGTTGTGATCTGTTATGAGTTATGTATAAAGAAGTACAAGCAGATCCAATGCAAAGTGGGAGGATATCTCAGCTAAAAAGTACAACAAAGTAAGTATAAATTTATTTCAAACATTCTGGCTACAGGTGATCCCCCCCCCCCCCGCATTCACTATGCCTGCATGCCCCAAAACATTCACAATGGAATATGTTGCTTGCATGAAATAAATTGTTCAAATATTTTACCATTATAGAGAATTAGTTGAATGCATCAAACAATTTCTAGGAATGAAATACTATAATGCCTCTGTCTATGGGAAGCTTTTGATCTAGTGGCTGAACAGCAAAGGAACTGATCTCTGCTAGTTCCCTATGCTCCACCAATACCCTTTGGAGTAGTGGAGAAAATGGAGCTAAGGATAATAATGGGGATGAAGGGATTAGTGAAGCATTTCTACCTGCAGGATAACACAATATGGACTGAAATGTGTTTTTACAATAGTACAGAGTTCAATACTACAATTACTGGTAGCAGAAGTGCACACCTGAACTTGTATTTAAAAATGAATACTTTCTATACGCACATGTTTGTGCACATGAGTACACACACACACTCACACACACACACACACACACAGAATAGGAACTAGAATAGAATAGAATTTTTTTATTGACTAAGAGTGATTGGACACACAAGGAATGTGTGTGTGTGTGTGTGTGTGTGTGTGTGTGTGTGTGTGTGTAAATGTATTCCTGCATGCATACCAGAAGTGGGTTGCTGCTGCTTTGGCCTGGATCAGGTGAACCGGTAGTAGTGGCGGCGGGAGGCTCTGCCCACCCGCAGAAGCGTAGTGCGCATGCATGAGCGAACCAGTAGTAAAAATAATAAGAAACCCACAACTGGTGCACACACACATATGCCTACTGGAATACAAACCGGCCTACATACACATATATTTCTTTTGCATTCCTGTTTGTGTGTGTGTGTGTGTGTGTGTGTGTGTGTGTGTGTGTGTGAAGTCTACATTTGTCACCTAGACAATAAGATGAGTGGTATCTAAATTTGATAAATAAATACAATAATTAAAAATAATTATTTTGAATAGAAGTATTTTTCCTTCACACTTTTGATATGCTTCACAATTAAATCCTGTCTTTGCTTACCATAAACTAATATTTGACATACCTTGTATCACAATCTCCCAGAAATCTGGTAAGTTTTTGTCTTCCACCCTTTTTTTCAACGCCTCCAAAAAATCATTAAAGCACTGCACTTCTGACAGCTGACGTGGCGACAACAGCAAAGGAAGACAGGGAAATAAAGTTAGCTTGACACCAAAGAGACCCCATATTCTTAATTCATCATGATACTCTGAATAAAGGGGGCGTAGAAGAGAATTTCAAACCACCACACAGACATTCATCTGCCCTCACTTGGATTGAAGCTTCAAGTATGCAGTGAATCACAAAGGAAATGTGATTTATCAAATCATTTATCAAAGGAGCAGTGCTTCTTTAGTGGCTTGAACTAAGAAATTATTTTAGATGAAACTTCTATTTCATCTAACCGTTACAGGCAATTGAAAATTTCAAGAAAGCTTGATCTGTTCAGAATATGGACCTCAGATTGAAAACGGAGCACAGCCATATCTTTTCTATCTCTAACCATTTCGTTCTGTGAGTTTTTTGATGCCACTTCATCAGTTTTCAATTTTTAAAAAAAGCATATCTCTTTGATCTTGGTTTCCAGAAAAAGATTATGGCTTTAATACCCATGTTACCTTAATAGCGTCCTCTCTGAAAACTTTTATGCAATGGATGCTCTTCATATAATACACAATCCCTCTGTTTTCCAAAAACTGGAAAATGTGTTTTATCAGCTGCTGACTAACTGGAAGACAAGAATCATACAATTCAGATATATCATTTGGAATGCGTAAGCAGTGTGGATGTCATTCAAATGTCATTGCAATGTATTACAATGCTGATAACTCAAGCGTTAACTTTAAGAAACCATCCCTGGACTCAATGCTACTTTATAGCTTTTATCCTTCCCTTTTACAGGAAGGCAATTGAGAATATAGTCAAATGGCAACGTAAGAGCCAGCGGTGAGATTCAAAAATGTTAGCAACCAGTTCTCTGCCTGGTTGCTGGGTGGGTGTGGCCATAGTGGGTGTGGTCTACTTGTCCTCCTGCACCTTGGGGGATTTTTACCTTCCCCAGGCTCCAGAGGCTTTTTACGAGCCTCCTGGAGGGCAAAAATGGCTGTCCCCAGGCTCTGGAAGCCCTCTGAAAACCAGAAACAGCCCCTTTTTCGGACTTCTGGAACTTCTGGTAGGCTTGTTTTTCACTCTCCCCAGGCTCCAGAGGCTTTCCTCGAACCTCCAGGAGTGTGAAAACGGTCTCCCCCGGGCTACAGAGGCCCTCCTTAAGCCAGAAATGGCCCCATTTCCGGACTTCCGGAAGGCCCATTTTTCACCCTCCCAAACCCTTTGCGCGGGCCCTGTACTTACCCGGCATGATTAACGGGTTGTGAGACTCCTGTGAGAGGCAGGGTGAGTGAGCCAGCCAGTCCTTGCAACAACTAGTTCGGTGAACTAGATGCAAAATCCGGTTCAACCGAACCAGTCAGAACTGGTTGAATCCCACTCCTTCATAAAATGGTTCTGGAGGAAGCAGATTACCTGGCCCCTTTTCAGTGAGAATTCAGATCAGGTTATAGTACCGAAATAACATTGATTACACTCGCTGATGACCTCTGGAGAAACCAGTATGGTTGTTTCTATTCTGGCCCTGATTTTTCAGTGGTTTTCAGTATGATTGATCAGGGCATGGCTCAACCTAGAAAACAGGGAGTTCAGGGAAAAGTGTTTCAGTATTCTTTTTTTTGGGGGGGGGGGTGCAGGATCAATACCAGTTGGTAATTTCAGATGGGGAGGGGGAGGGTAGCCATAAACTTCTGCTTTGAGGAGTTCTACATAACTTTACAACCTCTCCATCCATTTAGCATTTATATGAAGCTACTGAGCAAGGTATC